CAGAGTGCACAAGTATGGAACAACTAGAGATGTAAAATTCCATTTAATTGGTTAACTGGTTAAGCATAATGTTTACCTTGTTAACCGATTAAAGGGGGACAAATGGGAGGGGGCCTTCCAGCCCACCTGGGCTGAAGTGCCCCCCATTCCCCATCAAAGGCAAGGGCTACTACAACCTGGCTGGAGCAGCCTCTGCCTGTGATACGCCCAGGCTCACCGTGGACAAAGGCTGCTCTGAACAGCTGGAGCAACCCCTGTCCACAGCAGACCCTAAGGGGCTGGAGCAGGCCCTAACCAGGGCAGATGGGGAGCTGCTCATGCCCCCACTGGCTAACAGGAACCAGTAAGCATCTCTTGTTAAGGGTGATGCTTACTGGTTAATCTTTCACATCCCTAGGAACAACCTGCATGGCCATAAGCAGAAGGGTTTCTATCCCACTAAATCTCAACTACTCCATTAAGAGGCAGAAGAGAGAAGACACTTTCATATCACACAGTCAGAATCTTCACCCTGCAGGCACATGGTGGTAGATTTCTCATTATCTTCTTCTGGGGGTGAAAGAGCAGCAGAATATTCACACAAACCCTCATTCAGCAAGATGAGTAAGCAGTAGCACCTTCGCCCACAGCAACGACTTTACATCAAATGCACCCACCTACACACCCACACTCACATACACATCACGGGGGCTCAAGCAAAAGATTTTTTTAAGGTAATAGAAATTGTAAATTCTGGAAGTACTTATGACAAGATTTCACTCCCTATGTATATGTGGTGCCTTGGGATTCAGAATGTGCAATCAAATGAACATGTGAAAAGAGGAGGAGGAAGCAATGCATTACTCCACAGCCCCAGGCTCCTTTGGAGTGCATAACTTTTGGACTTTTTGGCATTCACTACAGGCCTTGTCGATCATATATGAACTTACGTATGTAATATAGTCAACATTTATTTAAGTTTAAACCACAATTAACCATGGACCATCTTGAGCAATTTTCCCTTCATTTTCAGAAATGCTTCTGTTCTGGATGCTTTACATTGGGTAGTTAATAAAGACAGAAGGTTCCAAGAACCGAGTTTGGATTCTGAGCTATATAAAACTGTTCCCTCTGAGAACACTGGGCACTCACGCATACAATTTTGGAATCTTTAAAAATCTTGCACCCTGCAAAATTTGTGACAGCTGTGATCATTGTGTGTTATGCTGAAGGAGCATATGAATTCACTGAAGCCTGGAATATGGAGCTTCAGACAGCTATAAATGCTGAAGGCAAAGCTTGTGAAGCCTGTAATTAGGATCAATGAAAATCCCCATGGGACGAATGTCCAGGCAGTCAGTGGCTATTACCAGTTGTAAATTATGTCTGCTCTAAGTAAAACGGGGACAGTAAAGGCTCTATCCAGCCGTCACCATCTTCCCACCTATATATTTTGGAAGGGGAGTAAGTGAACAGGTAGCTCTGCTTATCCCTGTGCAGCCAGACCTAAGGGCGCCAATGTAGACACAGCCAGAATGTATTAATTAGGAAAAAGAAGGTTAAAGAGACAGGTTAAAGAAGGCAACATATAAGAACAGATGTGTTATAGTCTATTAGCTTTGGTCACACTGTGAGGGCAGGGGACTGGATTTGATGACCTCTTGAGGTTCTTGAGGATTCTAAGATTCAAAAAGGTTAGAAAAATGCAGTCATCTGTCCACCGAATTCCTTTAGGGCTAACCCATGCCATGTAGCATGGGGCTCTTTGCTTATGTTTAGGACTCTTTGGGTATGTCTACACTACCCCGCTAGTTCGAACTAGCGGGGTAGTGTAGACATACCCTATCTGAGGGAACAATTTGGGTATGTCTGCACAGGCAACATTATTTTTAAATAACTGCTGGGTGTGTAGATGCGGACTCAGTTATTTCGAAATAATGTCAAAATACAGTCAAGTTGGAGGACATCTTACTCTGACTCCTGTAACCCTCATTGTACAAGGAGTAAGGGAAGGCGGAGGAAGAGTGCTCTATTTCAAAGTTAGTGCTGTGTAGATGCTCCTAATTTCAAAATAAGCTATGCAATTGACATAGCTCAATTTGCATAGCTTATTTCAAGTTAAGCCCCGCTGTATAGAGGCACCCTTCAAAGGGTGTTCTTGCTCTATCTTGATTATTGTTTGTGTAGCTCATGTCACAATCTAACCCAAAGGGTTTGATTTTGCTCCCATGAGAATCCTTTGAGAAACTTCCAATTGATAATGGCTACATAGATGGCCAATAGGGACTTTCAATATCTAATTCATATCTCCCAAGCTATTCAAAGAACATTTAACGGAGTCCAGACCATCTAGCTCTTCACACAGAATAGTTGCTTGCTATCACTATTACTTTGTTTTAACTTCATTCTAAATTTGCAGTTTTTCTATTTAAAATACTTGTGGGAAAACTATTCCTCTTAAATAACTAAAGTAATTCTGGTTTATATAAAGATCTCCCATCTTTTCATTATATTTTATATCAGACATGGTATAATTCTTTCCTTCATATACCACACAAACTAATCATGTGTCCTGTTTCTCCCAATGATAAAATCCAAAACTTATGTCAGAAAAAGAAATTTTAGAAGTCTCCTGTATCTGGGAAATTAAAAACGGTTTACAAAGCCTTATTTTAGCACAGTATCTAAAAATGTTATAAACAACATTGTGTATGCTTCATGGTAGAAGACTGTGTCTTTAAGGCTAGGCTATCCCTCCTTAAATAACTATTTAAAAGAATAAACAGAACAAAGAATATAAAACCATTCAGTTTTACTTAGTGCTCATGAAAGAAACTAGACTGACAATGCGGAAGACTGGAAATTTCTGTTTCTCTATGGAACAACTACACTATGAACAGCGGGAGGACAAATTTTATTACATGATTTTACCCATATGCTGGGAGTACCTCCAGAATAGAAAGTCTCCTCAGCCTACCAGCAAAGGTGCCAGTTAATGCCAATTTCCATGTCTCCCCGACCACGCCAGGAGCCACAATATCCAATGTGGAATCACTCAAACTTTTCACCTAAACCATGATATAAACATTATACTAGTGTTTGTAATTTAGTTCCTGTGGAGAGTGTGCTTTACCAGGTGCGGTAAAGCAGTTCTAATGCTGCAGTTCTGTACGCTGCATGTCAAGGGTCAAGGCAACCAACTAAGCCCAAAGCATGAAAACCACTGTTGATACTAGCCAGAAACAGAACTGATTCTACTGCTCTTGTTGTGTACACATAGGACCTTACCAAATTCATGGCCATGAAAAACACATTATGGACTGTGAAATCTGGTTCCCCCCCAGGAAATCTGGTGTTTTCTGTGCTTTTATCCTGTACTATACAGATTTCATGAGAGATACCAGCATTTCTCAAATGGGGGAAGGGGGCAGTTCTGATTCAAAAGAGAGTTGCAAGAGGGGATGGCAAGGTTATTGTCAGGGGGTTGCAGTATTGTCACCATTACTTCTGCGCTACCTTCAGTGCTGAGCAGCCACAGACCAGCTCCAAAGACAGAGCCACCACCAGTAGCAGCACAGAAGTAAGTGTGGCATGGTATGGTATTGCTACTCTCACTTCTACGCTGCTGCCTTCAGAGCTGGGCAGCTGGAGAGTGGCAACTGCTGACTAAGGGCCTCGCTCCGCAGGCAGCAGTGCAGAAGTAAGAGTGGCAATACCATACCATGCCATCCTTCTGTGCTGCTACTGGTGGTGGTTCTGCCTTTAGAGCTTGGCTCCTGGCCAGCAGCCGCCACTATCCAGCTGCCCAGCTCCGAAGGCAATGCTGCCACCTGCAAGAGTGCAGAAGTAGGGATAGCAGTACTGCAAACCACCCCTTACAATAACCATCCTTTTTGGGTCAGGACCTCTATAATTACACCACCATAAAATTTAGAACTGAAATAGCTGAAATCTTTAAATTTATTATTTTTAAAACCCTATTACTGTGAAATTGACCAAAGTGTACTCTGAATTTGGTACGCTTCATAGTAGAAGAAAAAGACAACTGGAAACATGTAAGAATGAGTGAAATCCAATGGAAATGTTATTTTTTTTAGGGGCTGCTCTAAAATATTCTTAATTGAATGGCAGTAGTCGTATGTTGGGTCTGTCTCTCCTGAGTCCCTTTTTCATACATTAACATATGCCCCACAACACACATGCACATGTGCACAAACAAATCCAGGTAGGCTGGAAAGGGAGATCTTATATGAGAAATAGAGCGCTAAGATCAGGCCATGAGAAGCCTATAGTACTTGAATAATGTGCTATGCAAAAAAGTGATTATGGTGAAATGCTGTCTAGTTTAGACATACATAAATTGTAAAATTTGTTATTTCTAATTCTCCACAGCTTAATCTGTGTAAGCTCCTTTTACCCCATGAATGTTTAAGTCTAAAGGATATTTTAAAATTTCATATCTGTATGATGTAGGGGCCAGTTTTCAAAGCTTCATTACAGCTTTATAATGCAGATTGAATGGTAGCACAAAGGTTTAAAATTAAAAGAGGAGGAGGAAGCTATCGTCGGAAAAAATAAAAGGTAGGACAGGGGAAAAATATGTGGTAAAATAAACTCAGTAGGCAGGAGAGGAAACTGCAAGAAAGATGAATTGGAAAGAGGGAATAGGATATCTTCCCAGCATCTTTGGGTTATTTCAAAGTACCTGAACTTCATAACCTACACAGCTCCAGGCACCGTGTTAAGCAATAAATTGCTTTCTTACAGCCATGTGGCAGTGTTAGAAGGTCGGCAAAACACTCCACTCCAGAGGCACTATATAAATTTCTTAGCTTAAAATAACCAGATTGACTCGTTTCTACATATTTCAAATCCTCATATAATCTTCAAGAACAGACGTAACAACACACTACACCAGAATATTCAACATTACAAAAATGGAATTTAAGAATGCCATGTAGCCAAGATACAAACTGACCCTTATTAACGGGAAGGAGAAAAATCACAAGACTAGTACTTACATTCTAGTATTGCTGGTCTTGTTGATTATTACAGATTTTCCAGTTTGATCCACATTGTGATCCATTCCAAAATAAGCTGCCACTCTGTGCACTAGCATCCTCTGATATGACGACATCTGAGGGAACTTTTTATAGTGATTACTGAAAGAAATCGTACTGATCAGTTACATTACTATCTTTAAGCTAAAATTGAACAATGATAATAATACCTTTTAAAACTTGATGCGACTTTTTCCTCTGGCCGTTTATTCAGCATACATGTATGCTGCAAGCAAGCAGTCAACTACAATGACTGATTTTCAAGAAGTGCTGATATATTTATGGCCCAAAATAAAACTGATACTTTTACTTGCTAAATTAAGGTAATCAGATCTCATATTTCATGGCATCAGCTGACTGCTGCAGCAGTCAGGATAGACTCACGTGCCATACACACTTTTACCCTGTATACCGTCTTATACAAATGACTAAGTAAGTCAAGAAAGTTTCATGCCTTCCTCCAAAGCAGCAGATATTGGGGTTGAGGTATCAAGACACTATTCTTGTATGACACATCATCTTATTTTCCCCTCTATTTTAAAATGTCTATGTTTTCCCTCAAAAGTTAGAAGACTTTTTCCTGTCTGTTTTAATTTTAAATATAGACTGTATGAGAGCAAAATAGGGGTTTATATCCCTTCAAACAAAAATCTGATTTTATTTTTCACAACACTAAAAATACCTAGCAGCACAGAACAAACTGCCTGACATAATATTTGATTATATATCCCTCTCTAGAGATGCATGCTTTATGTCCTGTGCAATGAAAGCTTTACAATTATTTTTGGCCATAAGTGACTGGAACCAGCTGGAAGTCATTAGAGAACCATCATAAAAATGAAAATCTTGCTTTTTGTTACACCTAATGCAGTTGTTCCTATTGACAGCTATTATACAGGAATTTAGAGTCTGATTTTGCAAGGTGCTAAGCTCTAGCACAGTGTTGAATAGGCCACTATGTAAGCACACATCTCATAAATATATAGCATTTATACATACTTTATGCAAAAGATGTATGTGGCATGCAAATATGATAAACTAACCACATATTGAAAATTAACTTACTTGTTGTCACTAATAAAATCAATAATTTCTTGTTCCATTTTTAAGAGAATCATTCTGTCCCTGTAAAAATAAACAATGATTTGAAGAGAAGGCTACCAAAACCATTTCAGATAACTTGCTTTCAAAGTATCATAAAAGTATGAAAGTTTCCCCTTTATTTAAAAAAAGCTACGTATATGTTTTAGTTAAAACTCCAACTTGCCTTGCATTGGTGCAGCTGTGGAAAGAATTCAGTCCCTCTTTCCGCCATCCATACCAGACCAAGGCAATTTAGGGATTTAAATCCCTTCAACTTTAGGACTCAGCCTGGCAGCACTCACAGCATCAAAGCACTGCATTCAGGAGGATTGTGGAGCAGTTGTATAAGGTAGGGTTTATCCCTTTTGGAACAAATATAAGCAATAGGGCTAGCTGAAAAACTTCCATCACAAATTTTTTGATGGAAAATTGAATTTAGTCAAAAATCCAACTTGTCACTGAAAGGAAATGCAGTGGAAAATGTCAACTTTTTGTCTAAAGACCAAATATCCCAAATCCAAAAATACTTGTTCTTCCATGGTGCAGTTCTGTAGCTCAGAAAGAAGGAAGACCACACTGCATCATGGGATGTGTTGTCTGACTAGGAAGTCACTGAGAATAGGGACCCAGTGACATCCTCCAACAGTTTCCATGAGGAGCTGCAGTTTTGCCAAATCCAAACTTTCTGTTTTAAGCTGCAAGTTTTTGATCTTGCACTGAAGAGTTGAAATTTTCCACAAATACCACCTTCCCCCTCTCTACTCCTCCCCCACCCCACTCGCTTTTCTTCCACAGCCCTGGTAAGAAACCTTACAGGGTACATTGCTCTCAAGCTTCTTTAAGCGATTACAACTTATACTGGGATTTTTTTTTTAAACTTTGAATGCTGGAAATGTGCCCTTTAATACGAAATGTGAATTCATGCATTTTGAAGTCCTGTGGATTTTTAACCCCCTCCCTGAATGGGTATTTAAGTGGAGGTTAAAGAAGTTGTGCACACTTAACAGTTTAAAAGAGTATGTAAAATATAAATATATAAAAAAATCCCGATAGAAACATTGAAATATATTTAGTTAAATATGTTTAGGAGGAAATATATACGGAGATTAATTTGCAGCTCCAAATAAAGTCTGTGGGTATAGAATTTGGAACTGACAGTATGATTTGAGTGGCAAATACTTTCAGTCATATAGGCTATAAGTAAGAGTCTGTAGATGGAGCTGTGCAGTGGTGAAGAGAAGCACAGTGACCACATTTCAGGAAGAATAATTAGGAATGGAAAACCTAGGCAGTAGAAGTTTTTTTTGTTTTATGGCTTTTTGCTCAATTAAGATACTCCTATTACTTCCCCTCCACCCCTACAGAATTATCTAGAATTAGAATTACAAGATGCTAGAATTCTAGGACTATACCAAGAGTTTGCTACATGCTGGAGTTACTTACCTGGGATTATTCTTTAATGTGTTCACCAGGAATTCATGCAAATCTATGCCTGTTGAGTCAGTATATTCTTGGCTGCAATCTGAAAAAAAAAAACAATTGCTTCATTTCAAAATTTACAGTTAAGACAATTTCTTTAAAGCAAACTTTGTTTTTCAGCTAGCAACATGAAGAATATGTTACAAAGAATAATGTACATGCATCTTATTACTTATGTGAACAATCTACCCCATGAAACAATGGAAGGAAATCTGTCCTCTCTCTGAATTGTACCAATAAGTGCCAGCAGCGAAGCAAACATAATGGTTTTTCCTTCCTAGGATCACAGGAAATGTGTCACCCAAATTCCTTCCAACATGCAGTGCTGTCCATATAGACATCTTTATCTAATTTAATGAGCGAGAACATGATATGCCATGCCAGTGAGAATTAAAAAAATCTAACACACTGGAATCTAGGATGTCCAAAAGTGGGCAAATGACAACGGCATGGGACAGGGTGTTTAGAACTCATTTATGGCATAGCTTATTGTGTCTTCCTCAAAACTAAAGGCAGATCCCTCAGCTAGCATGAATCACCAATTGCAGTGAAGTCAGTGGAGCTATGAAAATTCATATCAGCTGAGGACCTGCTCCTGACTAAGCAATGCTTATCCTAAAAGACTGCAGTGTAGTTTTGTAACATGGTATAATTATAGGTATAAAAATAATTATAGCTAGAGTCACACTATGCATATCTGCTCTAGTAAAGAATAATTATAATATGTGATGAATAATGCACTAGTGTATTACAGTACACAAATGATGAGTTAAGGTTTAAGGTCATGCGTGAATTTCCCAATCATATTAATTACAGAGATTCAGCTGTGGGCCAAGATCAATATACCAGTATAAGACTTAGTGTTTTGTGTTACTACTAACAAGTTGTACAGTATACTAACATTCACAGGATAAAGTTATACTCTTTCATAGAATATTTTATGTAAATATTATAACCGCATACACGTATACACACACCCACACTATATACACACACTGGATACAATTGTATACACACACACACAATATATATATTCCCTCAAACTTCATCATTTATATGTAAAATTCCCTTTTTCTTATCCATATAAATTTAATATTCCACATTCTCTCTTAAAATAAGGAATAAGGGATCTTTCAGAAAAGGCTTTATTTTCCAAAGATCCCCGTCTAGACTGGCGCTTTTTTCTGGCAAAGCTCCTAGCCGGAAAAAAAGCAGCAGCCATGTTTATGCAAATGAAGCGGGAGGGATTTAAATCCCTGCTTCGTTTGCAATTGTGATATGTCTAATTTGCATCCCTTTTATAGAAAAGGGATGCAGTCTAGACACAGCCATATTAGTACAGCAGCAAGCTATTTATGCAAGAGAGAGAGAGAGAGAGAGACAGAGACAGAGACAGAGACAGAGACAGAGACAGAGACAGAGACAGAGACAGACAGGCAGACACACACACAGGTATAATACATATACAGGCACAGGTATATATATTCATATGCAAGCCCAAGAATTTCTAGATGTGACTACAGTGTATAGCAAATGATAAAGGATAGATAAAGGATTCATATATTTTGAAGTTCACCTTTTGATAACATTCGGATCTTTGATTTTTCACAGTTTTTATCTTTTTCTTTGTTTTTATCCTTCTCTTTTTCGGAGTCATCTTTACTAGATTTATCTTCTTCCTGTAGACTGGGAAAACTTGAAAGCTGTAGTAGTATTGATTCCTGTTGAAAAAAAAAATATAACAACTTAGGGCTAGGTTTAATAAAATGTACATGGATTCCAATCGGCAGATATTTACATTAGGGTGTGCACAACTAGAAAAACTGAAGCCAGTTTATATATATTTTTCCTTTTGAGTAAAATTAAGTCTTATCAGGAGAATAATGCATTCTTTGGTCCAAATTCTGCCCTCAAATGTATGTGTGTGCTGCTCACATTGAAGTCAGAATTTCTTCCTTAATATTTGCTAAGACCTCTGAGTTTACAAATATTAAAAAGTACATTATTCTCCGCTTTTTCAGTGATCAAACCTCTCTCATCATTATAACCCTGGAAGTACATTCCTATGTGTTTTTCTTCCAATAAATCTTACAATATCTCTTTAGATATTGTAAATGCTAGATAAAGACAAAAATAATCTAACACTTTTTCCACAGAAAAATTGTCTGCAAATTCATGTAAAGTGCTGTGCACATGTATGGTGCTATACAAGTTAAACTGATTTTCAGGCCCTTGATAATATGCTTTGCAGGAAACTGATTTTAGGGTATCAGGTCTATCACATAAAAAAAAACATCTGGAAACATGACTACTAGCAAAAAGTTAAAAAAAAAATGTGTACTGAAGTTTTCAGTACAAGGGGTGTGCTAACTGAATTTCTCCAGTGCATCAGAAATCCATATCCTAAAGACTGCAAACATTGTGAATTCCTTTGAAGTTGCACTTGTTAAAAAACAGGGAATTGATCTTTGGCTTTTTTTCCCCCTTTTGAGAAATCATTATTCTCCATTTGCACTGACACTGGATATTTAAAAAAATAAAAATAAAAACTAGTTGATATTTGATGAAATAATGTAAACAGTGCTGTGATAAACTTCTAAAGAATGGAATCTGACTACAGGAAGGAAAAGAAAGTATGCCTAAGTATTCACACTGTTTTGAAGAAAAATGAATTAAATCAGATATTTAAATTGTAAAAACACATGCTTGTATTAAACTGTGGCAAAATCAGCAGTATTAAAAGTGACTTTAACACATTGGGGACCTGCATAATTGGTAAGCTACAGCTGCATCATTGATGACATCCAAATTAACATTTTTTTTAAAAAAAATAGCCTGATCACTAGCAAATTCCCTTCTATCATCAATTTTATAGACTGCTGATGTAGAGAAAAACATCTCATTACAAAAATTTAACCCAAAGGGTATTTTTCAGAAGCAGAACATTAGTAACTCAAATGATGCCTGCAATAACTATTAGAAATCTTAAAGTTATTAAAAGAACTACTAAAAGTCAGACACCAAAAGAAGTGTGAGACAAAAATCCTAGCAAAAAAATCAGCTACCAGTGTCGCAGTAAATCAAAATTGCCTGTTCTGAACTAGTGTCTTATTCTTTTTATGAAGCTGAAATGTGAAACAGAAGACTTGTGATGCAAGGCACTGTAAAATATGGAAGCAATGCCCTGCGGCAAAATATTAACCTGGGTTTATTTTCTCAATCTCTATTTTTGCTACCGCAAGGCAGAAATGTTAACAAAAGGCTGCATTGAATATAGAAAGAGAATGGGAACTTTCAGCCATATGAAACATGCAGGAGAATGCCCGCTAGCTGCCAAGTTACACTCAGTGGACTAAAGCATGCCTTCCTTTTCACTTGCTGAGGAAAAACTGCAGGTTAATTTTTTGTTCAGATGACAAAACTTTGTATGAATCAGTGCCACAAGATCCTTCTGAACAACTTCAGATTTCCTTGGCTATCTAATGTTGGGTGATTCTGTCATTAGTTCTTCAAAACAGATGAAAAGTATGTAACTGTCAGCCTCCACACTTTAATCCTGATTTATTAAAATGACTATTACAATGCATCTATTTTGACGAAAGGAGAAAAACGACAGACTTTACACATAGCATAACACACACGTAAACATATAGTATCTACTTTGTGTTACACACATATGATTCTGGGTATAAGATTTGGTTGCTCTTGAAGAAACACACAAAAGGGCTGTAGAGTCGTGAAAGCAATCTATTATGTTGTTATATTTATTTTTATTGATTTTTCTCAATAGTAAAATACAACGTTAATAAGTACATTGATACAAGGTAAATATAGTGAATAACAAAAGAAAAGTTCAAGTTGCATTAATACACTGATAAGTCAATAATATAGCATTAGAGGCAACATTCCTTTTAAGTAAGGACATAGTGAATCATCAGGAAAGCGTTCAAGATCAAGTAATACAGGTAACAAGATTTTTCCTACACAGGAAAATGAAGGCAAATTTTCAAATATCAATACAAACATCAGGGTTGCAGTACAATCCATACTCTGTAGTTCTGGCAATGTACCGTACATTCTCTGGTAATCAAAACCCTGTGCTTTGTAAACCGCTAAGATAAACTAATAGAAAATTAATTCAAAATAAGTTCAAAATAGGCTTCTTTCTCCTTTAAAGAAAAGCAAAATATTTCAAATGGCACAACACTTCCAGTATCCTTCAGCCAGTCCAAGGAGGAGAGTGCAGGTCTAGCTTTCCATTGCAAAGCATTGGTAAGCAAAAGGCCAATAAAAGAGCAAATCAGTTTCTATCTACTTGAGTATTCAGAACCAATTGATTTTACACAAGACAGAAGTTGGAAGTCAAGGGTACTTTAATTCCTCTGATCTTTTCAGTACAGCCAATAATTTTTCCCGGTGACCAATGAGACCTGGCTATGACCAGAGCATATGTGCGCAAGGGACCCCTCCTCTGTCTGGCATCAGGGTGAAGTTTGGGAGAAGTATTTTATTCCCAAACCTGCCTGCGTCTGTGCAGTTGAACACATGCCTTCTGCAGTACATTATCAACCACCATGCGATGTTAAATACAATCTCTTATGTTGATATTATTCTCCTTTTCATTCTCCATTAAACAATAGAAAACACAAATAAAATGCAGAACAAAAGCCACACATTTTTTAATAATGCAAGTTAAGCTAAAAGCATAGTTTTATTTTTTGTTTAAAATATATACCTACAACTAGAAAATAACCTGTCAATTTCTCTACTGCATAATCATCATTGTAGAGCAGTGAGAACTTGAAGTTCAGCTGCTAAACAAGATCTGGTTTTTGGTCTTTCAAAAAATAAATATAAATGAATGAATGAATGAATAAATAAATAAAAATCCTCTCCACACTTAGGGGAGAGTTCAATTTGTTTCATTTCAAGTCAATAGAGGAAAGTCAAAGAAAGTACACTTAAAAGTGATTGATTGTTTTGTTCTGAGCTCACAAAAGTCATTCTCTCAATCTCTTTCCTTTACTCTCTCTCTCTCTCTCTCTCTCTCTCTATGGCTAATCTCATTTGCCAATAAAACAACTGAATCTACAAATACCAAAAATACTGGCAGCTTTTAAGGGTTTCTTTTTTTAATCTTATTTTTTACTGGTCAAATAAAAATGATAGTGAAAGTTTTTGGTGTTTTGAGGTTTGAGCCTTTTGTTTTGGTTTTGATTGGCAGTTTATTTTTTGCATGCGAACCTAAAACAATTGTTTGCCAGAGTCTGAATCTCCCAGATCGAATTTCCAGGATGTTTTGGTCCAAAAAGGTGTTTCTTTGGAATAAATGGAATAACAAAATGCAGTCCTACTCTGTATAATGCACGTTCTCTTCTCTGCCAATGTATTTATAGAATTAAAGTTTGTGTAGTATTATGAAATGCATACTGGTGGAACGGGGGACTGATACACAATGGATCTCAGCTGAGCTAGAATCCAGAGTGTACTCAGAACTGTATTTGGTATAGCCTCAAAAGAGATAGCCTTAGAGAAAAGAACAATTCTATCTTTTATTTATTTATTTTTAATTTAAAACCGAATTCTTTTGAATTCTTTTCCATTTGTTGAAATTTTCAGGGGGTCTGGAAAAAAAAGCAAACAACACCCTGTGACATACTGTAAAACTACTTCAATATTTCAAAATAAAGTACACACTAAGCCAGATAACTTCACAAAATCGTGTGCATTGTCGGATGTAATTTTTTTTTTTTTGCTTTCCCCAAAAATATCGTTAAAAGCCCAATTAAGTAACATGATCATGCAAGTGAAAGTAGAATTCAACCATGCAGCTAGCAGCCATGATTTCAGATGTACCTGATTATCATGAAGACCTTCTGCTCCCAGTCGAGGGGATGATTCTTCGCACACAGCAAGACTCCGGACTAGTTTCCCTTTAGCTCCTGACTAAATACAATAGAAAGAAAACAAAACAAAGGAAACTACTGCTGATCTCGTATCTGCAAATGTTCCAACCTTCCTATGCATGTATTTATCCAGAAACACTGCATTTGCTTGAGATGCAAGTGCTGCATGTATGTGATAGACAAAAGATGAAATATAGCAGGTTCTGTCCACCAAATAATTTGACACAATTTCAAACTCTTTTGCTACAACTGAAAATCATGAAAACAAAAAAACAAAAAACAAAAAATCTGGTAATGAAGTTAAAGCAACTATTTCCTGTAATGAACAGCAATAAAGCTGAACAGGGACAATTTTTAAAACTTTCATTGACTTATCCTTGGAAAATATTATTTAAAAACCCAGCAAGTGAGCAAGCAGATTTCCCCCTACTCAGTCCTTTTTTATATAATTTCTACAACTTCAAAAACTTGATTACGCCACTTAAATAAAATTTAAACTAAACATTAATTATAAAAGAAAAATGAAATGAAATTTTTCCTCTCTCAGCTGTACACACAAACACATACACAGATCACATATACAAGCACGTGGCAAGCCCAGCAACCAGTGTATGATTTCTAAATAAAGGGGAGATTGACACTTAATATTTTGTGAAACTTCTTTGCCTTTGTGCCACATGATTATGGAATAAAACCTGACAATAAAAGCTCACTGTTGTATATGAAAAAGCCCCCTGAACTGAACTTTTTATCACCTTGTCAGCTCTGCATGCAATGTGAAACCCTACCTTGGATCTCTTTTTCTGCTGGTTCTGGTTTATGCCTCGTTTCTGTGTGTAACAAATAATTTTCACTTTAGTGGAAAATGCACACAATAGGAATATCAGCGTACTTCATAAAAACCTTCTCAAAATAATCCTTCATCGTTTGTTGTTTGCAAAGTAACATCCCCAGTACAACTCTCAAAAAGTGGAGCTCCAACAATTGTTTTTCCTTTGTGTATTAATCTGATTGTAATAAATAACATACAAACTGGAGAGGTTTTGCAATGTTATGTACAAATAAAAATCATGATAAAAATGACTATACTATAAATAAGCCTCTCTCCATTTCCAAACTCCTTCAATTTTTGAGCTTGTCAGTAGCCCCATAAATTACAGTTCCCCTTTCCCTGAATATCCTTTTAAGTAAAATGATAATAATAATAATATAGCAAAGACTCAATTTTTAATTCTCTTTCTTTGGTTTTGCAAAAGAATCACAACTTTTTGTTCGTAATAATTGTACTTTTTAAAAACACACCATAAAATTAAGAAATGCAACCATTTCTATGAATTCGGAGAGTCCATCAGATCAAGTTAATATCCTAAATATCCTAAGAGGAAAAACAATCAGACAAAATGTTTTACTGGATTTTTATAATGGATACCCAGCAACAGGTTTCTTAGTAACAAAAATAGTAGAAAAATATTACAAAATATTACAAAATGAAACAACATGGAATAGAGAGAAAGATGGGGAAAGGAAAAATACATACAAACTTAGCCAAATAAAAGACAGTGGAAATGACAATATAGTGATAAACACAATGACATAGCCATCCAGGTCCTCCTTCCCCTTACCTGGTGGTCCGATTTGGCATCACTCAGCTTCTCCTCCTTTTCCTCTGCTTCCAAGCTTTCTGTTTGATTACTGATGCAGTTCTCTGGGGTGGCATCTGAGATGGCAGACTCCTGGTCTTCCACAGCTTCCTCTGCTGTCTCCTGGTTCAATTTACCTTGCTCAGACATTCTCCCAGACAGGAATTAAAACAAGATTTGGTGACCTAAACAGTCGAGACATTAAAAAAAAAAAAAGTGAGGTTAGGAGGGAGATAAAATTTTTATTTTTTGTTCTCAAAGGAGTCATTTCAGTTCATTTGATAAACAAACCATAATAATAAACTTAAGAGTTCAAGGCAAAGGGCAGGGGAAAAATGAATTCAATTGATACTGGGGAAGAGTGGAATTGAGGTGTCATAAATAAAACAACTTGGTTTCAAACTACTTAAGTGGTAGAGAATGAAAACCACAGTTAAGATATGGTAACATAAGCCCTCACCCCTTGCTCTCCTTCCACGGAGTTGCTGCAGAAATGAAGACTGGAATGGAAAGGAATTTTGTTTTTTGCAAAACAAGTCAAATGGATCAAATAGAAGTTGTCCCATTTACACTTCCGGGTCACAGGCATGTCAATGCTTCCCTCCACTAGCATCTCTCTTATAATAAATACATACATACACATATACACAAACAAAGCACCACCAAGAGGAGAAATACTGCAGATTTCTATCACTCAGCTATTGCCTGGTGTATATATAGAGAGCGCCAATAGCATTCATTACAGGCACACAAAAATTAAATTCAGTTGAAGAGGTAATAACATTCAATATAAATATGAAATCTAAATTTGGCAATAAAGCTCTCAGGGTCAACATCTCCAGACGTCAAACTGACAGCTCCATTATTAAAATCATAAGCCTCTTCCCAAACCCCGTGTCACGCTCCAGCACTATGGAAATCCTATTGGAAGCCCTTGGCAGGTAGCTCTAATGAAGATATCTTAACTGCACTGCATTGCTCCCAGCTCACAACGGACTGTTGTACAGAAGCTCTAAAAGGCTTTTCAAAGTTAAAGCCTATTATTATTTTTCCTTTCTTTACCCACAGAACACCCTTCCGACACCTCCCCCACTGATCATTTGTCAAATGAGTCTCATGAATAATTTAGTGTCTCCCTCCCCCCCCTTTTCTTTTTTTTTTTCTGGTTTTAAAATGTGCCTGAAAGAAAAACAATTCCAACAGAAACTAGGAGTTATTTCAGAAACAGATTTCAGTGCAATAGCTTGCCCTTTTTTAACAATGAAGAATGGTTATTAGACAAAATTATATTTTGCCATGTTTCTTTTACATCCTGTAAAGAATATTCAGCACTTCTCTTCTGTCCGATTCTTTTATTGGAAATACAAAGGATTTCAAAATATCAGCTATTTGTTTTTAGAATTCTACTTTCAGGTATTTTAAAGGTTTCGGGTATTTTAAGTAAACAGTGTTGAAGAGGTTACTGTTCCAGCTCAATTTGCAACAAATTGTGGAGCTTTAGCAGAATTAGATTTTTCTGAACAACTGAGTTTCTTATACACGTGTTTATGAATATCAGGACAAGGGGTATACATTTACAAACATACACTACAGTCATAAGCGATTCAATACATTTCTCAAAGCAATGCAGTACTGCAAAAGGGCTCATTTTAATTGTAAATATTTCCGGTTAATTTTTGGTTGTTGTGCTCTTACATGTGTAACTCAAATTCAGTGAAATTTTCACACCCACACAAAATGTATTTAGGTGTACATTATATGTACAGAACATCTATACACAGAAAATATTCACAAATACAAACATAATTAGAGCTGCAGACTAACGACTGTAACAAACAAGCCATCTACCTTCAAAGCAGCTTTAATTCTCGATGTCTTTCTAGCTGCTTCTGTTGCTCTTCAATGGTTAAATCCACACAAATGATCAATGACAACATGAGTCCCATGTCCCCACTAACAGTTCAGAATGCCAGTCTCCATGCCCTTCCGTTAGACAGTTTGATAGATCATCAACCTGGAAAAAGACAAAAAGTAAATAATCAGGGTAATAATCATGGTAAGGTTAAGGATGCAATAAATAGGACCAGATTTCTAACACTAATGACCAGCTTCAAGCAAATCACTTTCACAGCTTGATCCAGCTCCACCTGTCTCAAAACTGCCTGCTTCTTCTCTAATGAAGGCTAGAGCCGGCTGTTCAAGTCATAACAGCTCCTACGCAAAGAGCTAAAATTATCAATTGCATTATGCACTGAAGATTACTCACTTCAATTTTAACCTTTTTTAGTGAATTCTGGCACTTTTCACATAAAAAAATTCAGATCATCTCTTTGCCTCAATGGAAATCAACATTATCTATGGGCAAAAAAGTCTTCTCTGTTTTTTAGCCAGAGCTCTAGCCCCAATTTCAGATTTACACAATATTTTAAAAAAGCTCTATGACCTCTTTTTAGAAAGTAATCTCAATAAGAGTACACTTCATTTACATGCTGGTGTAATGAGGCATATCTGCCAAACAGAAGCTGAAATGATCGGGGGAGGGAGGTGAAAAATGAGTCCTCAGAACAATGGAAATCAGTATAAACTTTTAGACAGCATGGGAAAAAAGAACATACTGAGATCTCTCTCTACATTATTGCTCAGAGAGGAAGACTACGGGTTCAATTGCTTCAGAAATGCAATGCAAGTGCCGTTCATCAGCACTGTTACTTGCCAGCTGAGTATGGGATTTGACAGAAAAAGAATATTTTGAGAGGGATTTGCAAACTGTGGTCCTGCAGAAAATTATCATGATGCAGTTAAGTCTTGTTGAGATTTCCATAGGGGGGGGGGGGGGGAAGGATAAGAGAAGAAAGGAAAAAACACCCCCTTCCCCCAAAAGAACAAAAATACAGTTCAGTTGGTAAGAAAAACAACAATCTGCATATTATCAAACTCTATTACACGTTTTCTGATGTATATGGTTTTAAATTGCAAACAGTTGCAACAGCTGTACTGTACGGTATGATGAATTGCAGCTTACAACCTATTTAATTTAGCCAAACACTACGAATCAGAACTGGAATACAATATTTTTAAAATTATATTCTGATCTTTCCAGAATTTCAGTGCTGTGTAGCAAAGAATATTTAGTTGCATAGACTTTTATATTTCCCAAGAGGTAAACATAAATATTTCAACACTGTCTCTCATCTCACAAACCAGTAAATAATTTGTATGTAGCAATAAAACTACTCATTTGCAGGACCATTAATAATCCTTTCAGAAAAAAATTACTTTTAGGAGGTTCAACACTAAGGTGATAGAAACAGAAAAAAACATTAATAAAATAAAGCAGAGTACTGATATTTAGGAAATAAGAATAATATTTTTTATATATATAAATATAAAGTGAGCCTATTACATGCAACTAATGTAGGTAAAAAATTAACTAACTGACTCAATGAGGTAAACTACTCCCAAGAACCTTTTTGCCCCCACTTCAGAATAAAAAATGATATCAAATCTCAATTCAATACAAAAGATTTAAAGAGAGAGAGAGCACACTGTGAAGTCCAGAAGCCCCAAATCCATCAAAGAAATAGAAGTAGTTGTACCAAAACCTTTCCAAAAATTAGCATGCAATTTCGGGATCCTGCACACTTTTTGCAGCATTGCCATGTATGATAAGCTAAATATCCACAAAAAGGCATCTCAGATTTCCTATTAGTCACTAGTTAGAGAAATATGCCAAGTCTCCAGCAGACATTTCTGGTCCTGTGCCACAGATCTCACAATGCAATCTTATCATACTGACTGAGGAATATTTTTATAAATGGAGACTCACACATTCTTATGCTTAAGATATTTAATGCCAACATGATCTAATGCCAAGCCTTCGGGAACTCTGTTGAATCTTAAAGACTGAACAAAAGATACAAGCATTTCACCAAGGTTGCATAAGTCAGTGGGGGAAGAAACATACACAGTGTTTGAGCAGCATCTATCAGACCTGCAGTGCCAATGCCATTTTAAAATTATACTCCCAGCATGCATTTCAGCATTTTGTTGTAGAAAACAACCCAGGGAAAAAAAATGGATTTTTTTTAGCTGAAATCAAGCAATCTTCAGCAGGTAGATACTGACATATGGGACTAGGGATTAAAGCAATCTTATAAAAATATTTGCCCACATGAAACTGTAATCATTTGTAATTATTCCCTGAGCCAAAAGAACAACTGAAGTGAAGAATTGGGTGAGATAGCAATTATAGTTCATCTTTCTCATCTTTCCTCCAATGCACATTTCCATTAACTTGGGAGGAAATTTACATACAATGGTTCCCATTTATGTTACAATATGTGAGATGTACTGAGATTTTCAAAGGAACCCATGTTGAATTAACTTTCCATGGGAGTTAGACTCCCTTATGTGCCTCTGAATCTCCTGTATTATATAATAAACATCAGGGTATCTATTAATAAGTAGAAGCAATCAGAAAAGCACCTGTAAAATGGCACCCTTTGACTGAAAATATGTATCTGCTCCTTGTGCATTTTCAATATACCAGTTTATTTAATAATCAACGCAAATATATTACTAGTACTAGACCTGCAGTGTCTATATAGCTATGGAAAAAGCACACTCAATTCTTCTCAAACTTGCACAGCAACAAAATTGTCAGCTATGTCCTTACTGCCAAATTTACACCAAGGTAAGAGACAAAATACACACTTCAGCTTTCAATCTCTAGGTTGGGATTACAAAGCTTGTGACGAGAAAAAAAAATCATCCTTTGATTTGCAAGGTAGCAAATTTTATAGTGATTGTTAAGGTTCTTCAAAAGACCAGACAGATAAGGTAATATTTATTGGACTAACTTCTGTTGATGAAAGGCATAAGCTTTCAAACTATACAAAGTTCTTCACCAACTCAGAGAAAGGAATCCGTGTGTCTGAGCTAAAGAGAAGTGAGGAAAGAGTTAAGTATAAAGGGTAACACTCCAGGGTTACTGGGCCCAAATTTGAAATCCAGACATATAGAAGTCACAGAGGGAAAGTCAAATGCAGGACAATGTAGCACTTTAAAGACTAACAAGATGGTTTATTAGATGATGAGCTTTCATGGGCCAGACCCACTTCCTCAGATCAAATAGTGGAAGAAAATAGTCATAACCATATATACCAAAGGATACAATAGAGGGAAAGTCAGGCATTTTACAAAGCATTTTTAGAGAAGCACTTTAATAAAAATAATGCAAGGGGTTAATGTAAAAGTTTCAAACACCCTATGATGGGTATATGTTATGGAAATGTAGTTGCCACCTGTTAAACTTAATACAAAATATTTATTCTGCAGTAACTCACACTCAGGACTCTCCCTACCCATGATTTGTGCTAACCCAGGTGTATTGGATAGGATACGACTCGAACTCAAATGCAAAGAAACAGAGTGAATGTTAAACCATCTACTGAAATTTATTCATCAATAGCACATATCACACTGATCCCGAGGGGAAAAAAACAGCATCGCACCCTAAGTAATTTAAATGCAAGGATTTAGAAAAACTGCCTGGAAAAGGAAGTGATAAAAATGTATAAATGCAACAAAGTGATGAGTGAAAACTTTCATGTATCAATAAATATATTTGCACAATAAACACAAATTGAAAGAGAAACAGACCTCTAGCACAATGTGAAAAAGTTCAATCCATGTACCAGTACTAGAGAGGTAGGGAACATCTCAAGACAGTGTGTATATTAAAGGCTTGTTAACAGAAAGTTTGGGCTGTTGTCTCCTAAGAATATCCATTAACACATCCAGGGCCGGACGGAGGCATGGGCGAGCTGGGCAGCTGCCCAGGGCGTCAACCGATGGGGGGTGCCTGATGGCAGCTGTAAGGGGCGCATGGCATCCCTTACAGCTTCCATCAGGCTCTACGCGCCTGGCTCCCGCAGCCCCAGCCATCAACGCCCTTCCCCCCATGGCCACGGGGCCCTACATGGCCCGGCGCGTGCACCAGCAGACTGGGCCACACTTACGCCATGCACCCTAGTTGCACCGTAGGGGGGCGGGCCCACACACGGGCCGTGCGCCTGAAGGCAGCGCCACGCGCCCATGCCCGGGGCATCAGAATACTTCGGGCCGGCCCTGAACACATCAAAGGATCTAGCTTCACCCTTCTCTAACAGAAGGGTGATCATCTGAGTCATTTAGAACTGAACAGGATCAGGCCTTAATCACAAACACATTCTTTAAGCAGATTTGCTAACCAAAGAGGCTGAAGAAGTGCCAAGGGGAGGAGAGAGGGTGGGTAAAACAACTAGAAAAGGTCTGGCATGCCTTTGGCTGGATGATGGATTCCCTCCAGCTTCTCAATAGCATTTATTTCACAGGACAGGGACCTTATTCATCCAAACATACAAAATAGGAGTCCAAATAATAGATTTTGGATGGCGTTCTGGCAGATGTAATATTTTGGAAGATACATGAAATATAGGCACATACATCTTCTCAAAGAAATGTCACACACAACTCTGAATATACATGATTCAACTATAAAAAGTATCCTTCATCAGTAATTAGTGCTCTCTTGGGAATCCTAAAAACTATAGAAAATGTATTTACTACTTCTCCCCAAACCCTCCTGATAGAGAGTTAACAGTACTCTTCATTTTGACTGGTCCATTGAAATGTGTTAACTCTTTGACTACGTCTACACTGGCACCCTTCTCCGGAAATGCTTAAAACGGAACAGTTTTCCGTTATAAGTATTTCCGGAAAAAGCGCATCTACATTGCCAGGATGCTTTCCCGGAAAAGCACTTTTTCCGGAAAAGCGTGTCTACATGGGCCACGGACGCTTTTCCGGAAAAAAGCCCCAAACGTCATTTTCGCGATCGGGGCTTTTTTGCGGAAAAGACTACTGTGCTGTCTACCCTGGCCCTTTTCCGGAACAGTTTTTCCGGAAAAGGACTTTTGCCTGAACGGGAGCAGCATAGTTTTTCCAGAAAAACACTGACAATTTTACAGTAGA